GCTAGAATTTCGACGTAAGCTGATAGATTTTGGCTTAATGTATAAGTTAACCACTGATGAAATTGATTTGAATTTAGACGACATTTTCCAAATGTCGGCTACTTTAGGGCATCCGTATAGAGTACGACCTTATAGAGCAATCACTCGTTCCTTCGAAGGTGCTTTCCCTGTTAGGGTAGCACAACTCTGGAACAAGCTAGGAACAGATTATTTCAGATGGAGAAAGTCATCCCTGTTTCAGATTCATCTCTCTAAGCTTCTCAAGCAATCAGAGTGATTCAGGACATATCGGGTATTCAGTGGTTTCTTTTTCTGGCGCAGCATGGATGATTACCGTGATTAACGTGAAATCGGAAGGTTGTTTCAAGCGCCTGCTGACAGAAGAGGCATTAACTTTAACCGTGGAAGCAGAACAGGGAAGTTGGTTTCATCTACGCACGCACTCAGAATGCAGTATACCAGAGTTGCAGAGCTTATGCCAGCATTACATTCCTCTACGTCCTCAATCAGTTCCTACAGCATTTTTATGGATCTTCGCAACCTTTTTGACTTTTTCCCCTTTTTGACTTTGCGACTTTGTAACTTTATGACTCGACCTCTTTCTCCCGCATTCTTCCGCCATTCCTTCATCAACTCCCTCTCCCTTGTCGATGGTTTTCCTACTTTTCCTACTTTTCTTCCTTTATTTCTTGCGTTTTTTTTCTCTTGTAGTTTCTACTCTATGCGCTGTGCAATTCTGTTTAATGTATTTGATTCGCCTATTCTTTCTTGTACTCTTTTTATTATTATTATTGCTATTGTATATTTTTCCCCCTAACCAGCCCCTTACCCGCAGCTGTCTGTATTATCTGGGCGCCCCAAGAGGTTGGCGGACCTACTAAGTTGGTATCCGGAGCCGCAACCCCCTCCATGCGGCTTGCAGTGTTGGCCAGCCACTGCCCTTCCTCTTTCTGGCGGCCCAATTGCTCCTCGCCCCTTCCAGCCCCCCTCCTGTTCCTTTTTTTTTCGTTTTTCCGTTTTCCTTTCTATTTCATGTTAATAGGATATGATACATTACTCTATTCTATTGTAACTCTGACGCTAGTCTGAACCACACCGTTGTATGTCACTTCAACAATAGCTCAGTGAATAAATAAATAAATAAATAAATGTAGCTCCTTTTCTCATTGGATACATCATTAAATGTGAATCCAAGATTGTTAGCGGTCGGATAAGTTTTGCAGTGAATGATATCAAAGCAGAGAGAAACCGTGATCCTTCATTGAATCGTAAACTTCGCTGGGTAGCGGTCGTAAGCAAGAAGTGAACCAAATTTCATAATCTGTCCCTATCAGTGCACTTACCATTCTTGTCGAATGAAACATATCAAACGATCAAAGCTAGCTCGTAAATAAAAAAGGCGCTAGGGTTCAAATGGTGATTGAATCTTGTTCTCTATGGCCTCCTCTATCGTCAGTGCTCCCATCCTGCCCCCTCTACTCTTACTGATTTCGCTCTCCAAGTCCACGGGATCGGGAGTTATGGATTTTCGCTTAGACATTTATTTCGCACAAACTCCGCCTCCCAGTGGACGGAGTACGACCCTCTACCCACTATAAGTGTCTCCATCCAGCCGCCTATGCTCCTGCCATGTTTGACTCCTGCCATTTTTGAACGCCCTAGGACCAAATTGACAATTTCGGCGCCAACCTAGCCCTTTGTGGCCCGACCTTGCCACACCACTAATGTTCCCACCCTGCCTCGGGTACTCTTACTGAATTCGAATTTTCTAGTTCCACTGATACAGGAGTCACTGTTTCCCACTGAAACATTTTGTTCGCACAAACTCCGCCCCCTAAGGGCGGAGTCCGGTTCTGCCACTCAACATGTGTGTTCAAATCCTGCCGCCTGTGCTCCTACCAATTTTGAACGTCCCAGGTTCACGGGACAGGAGTTGTGATTTTCCGCTGAAATATTTTGTTCGCACAAACCCCGCCTCCTGTGGGCATGGTCCGGTCTTGCCACCCACCATATGTGTTCCTATCCTGCCGCCTGTGCTCCTACTAAATTTGAACGTCCTGGGTCCACGGAGACAGGGGTTATGAATTTCCGTACAAACAGACAGACGGACGGACAGATAGACGCGAGCGCTTTATATAAAGTAAGGATTATGAGATAACCTAACACAAAACGTTAGATGCAGAAATTTTTCTCCGAATGAGAACCTCGAATCAAGAAAGAAATTGTCACACCCGTTGTTTCACTCATCAAACTTGAAGAAGGGCCGATTTGTTTACGCGTAACAAAGTCAATTGTTGTTACGATCATTCAAGTAGCCCCATTCTACGTAGTACTCGTGAGC